TAGACAGCGGAGGACGAGAGCCCCGGACTGCTCTCTGGTCAGCGAGGGTGGGAAAGGGCACCGCTGGAGCCTCTCCTGCAAGTCCTGCCGCCCCTCGCCTGTGTCATCCCGCAAGGCGGTGGGCAGCTCCCTCCCGGTGCTGCCTCCGCTTCCCCGCAACCCCGATGATGTCTTCACTCATAGTTCTGAACACCCCAAGTCTGCCAGCCCTATTCAACAACCCCCCCATCCAAAGGCTTGGATTCCTGGTCTCACCACCCGGGTGTCCCCGAGTCCCACGGTCCTTGGTTACCCCCACTCCAGTCCCACGGCCCGGGTCGGACGTGGCAGGCGGCGTGCGTGGCGGCTCCCTCACGCGGCTCAGTGGCCCGCTGGGCAGAAGCTGAGGGTCGGGTGGCATTGCGTGGTTGGAGAGAGGTGTGTGTGTGGGGGGGGTGTTTGCCTCCCAGGAGGGCAGGGTGGATTCTGGGTGCGGGCACTTGGGTGCAGGAATTTCCTTAAGAAACTGGCTTCTCGGACTTGGAGAGTACTCTTGGATTTGGGGGACAGTCAGGGGGACTTCAGGTCCGCTTCTCCTCCCCCTGCACCTGTCGGGCCTCTCTGGGATGGTAGGGGGAAGAATTTACATGCTTGGAGATGTAATAAGGGATGGTAAGCAGCCTTCCCCGCTGCCCTCGGTTTTGCGGGGCATGTGTGGGGGGCAGCACCTGATTTAGCTCTGGCAGACACTCTAATCCCGCCAGGTCCCGCAGGCACGCCCTTGGTTCCTCCCCCTGCCCAGCAATTCTTCTGCCCCCGCGGCCAGCCCACACTGCAGCCAAAATTCTCCACCCCTAGCAGGTCTGGGGAGGGCTAATGAGAAATGATGTGGATGGTTTACATTTTTGGGTCTGTGTCGGCTGGACAGAATACTAATTTATCCTGATAGTGTTGTAGGCAAGAAGGTGAAAGGTACTCCAGCCCTGGGGGGGGGGGGGGGGGGCTGAGTCCCCACCCTAAGCTCCACCCCCAGCTATGTTCCCCTCCCTGGTTCTGTCCTCCCCTTCCCTGACCACCTAGCACGTGGGTCCTTTCTCCTCCGCTTGTGCCCCAGGTCGGCCTCTGCCTCCAGCCTCTTCCCCACTTCCTTGGGTCTAGTCTCCAAACTGGGCCATACCCTCCTCCCCCCAGCTCTCTGCTCCTTGTCCCACCCTCCAGATCCCCAGTCCTGAAGAGCAAACTGGCTGGTCACTAGGTAAGTTGTAACCACAAGACCCTTAACCTCTCAGTGCCGGTAAAATGGGCAGAATTTTACTTTCCTCCCTGGGGAGTAAATGAGGGCCTAGCGCATGGCAGGTTCCCGATGAATGTGAATCCCTCACTTCCACTCTGGCAGAGACAAAATGCCCTTCCTCACCCCACGGACGCCCGGGACCTGGATCACTGCCAGCAGTTCCCATTGCTGCCTCTGCCTGTGCAGAGTATAAGCCTCAAAAAATGAACTGCTTGTATGTACCATATAGTCCAAGGGCCAAGGGCAACCAGACAGAGGAGCTAATAGAAATGAGGTGGGCTGCTTAGAAGGAAGTCATCAGCTCCAATCTCCTCTGTGAGCCCCCTGCCTTGGTTGTGTGTGTGTGTGTGTGTGTGTCCGTGTGCTGCAAGTGTGTGTGGGGTGGGGGAGGGCAGGGATCAGCCAGGTGTTGCAGGGGGTTCCTAGTCTGAGACCTACCCAGCTATTAAAATGAGATGTCACGCCCTGGCCGGTTTGGCTCAGCGGTTAGAGCCTCGGCCTGCGGTCTGGAGAGACCTGGGTTCGGTTCCCGCTGGGGGCACGTATCTCGGTTGCAGTTTGTCCCCGGCCCTGGTTGGTCGTGCGGTGGCAGCCACTCAATGTGTCCCTTTCACATCGATGTTTCTCTCTCTCTATCTCTTCCTCTCTCTCCCTCCCACTCTATCTGTACAAAAAATGGAAAAATGTCCTCGGGTGAGGATTAAAAAAAAATAAAAATAAAAAAAAAATAAAATGAGATTTCACAAAAAATTCTTAATTTTCAACTTCTAAAAAATCAGAAGATCAGGCAATATTGAGCCAGCATTTCTGCCTAGCAACGATCTACTGGAGTTGAACAGTGTTTATGTTCCCTTTAGATGGGGCATTTGCCCTTCAGTAACCCTCCCCCCCCCCCCACATACATTCAGTTTCCTTCCTGTTTGTTGTTTGTATTCCTGGTATAATGAACTCTTAGGTCCTTTTCAAAGTTAATGCTGTATGTATTTTTTTTTTTTTTAAGTGCATGAAACTCCTCCCATCTAGTGATGGGTGACGGAGGCCAGTGTCACTTGCTCCAGTGAAACTCAGATCTGGATCCTCCTCCCCATTTCCTGGTTTGATGGTGATTCAGGTGAGAATGGGCCATAAAACCCTCACTGGCCAGGGCTGGGTGAGCATGGCAAGGGCTGGGCTAAAAGCTAAGACCTGGGAGGACTGGGGTGGGAGAGAATTTAGGGGAAAGTAGAGGAAGGGAGAAGAAGGGAACTAACATTTACTGAGCACTAGGCCTGAAGTGCCAGGCACTGTGCAAGGCGGACACGGGGAATGCAGAGATTCACAGGAGACCTTTTCTGCACCAAGGACCCTGGAGTACTGATCCCTCAGTGAGACCAAAGAACGTCTCACAGACCCAGAATGTAACACCAGGTGTGTCTGGTGTGGTCTTCTCCTCCTGGGTCTGTCCAGTGTATCTGCCTGGGGTCCTCAGACCTCAGTTTGAGAAATGCTGCAATTAAAGGTTAACCCTATCACTTTGAGTGATCACGTTAGGGCCAAGGCGATCAACGATGAGAGAGATAAATGCAAATATGAAAATTGCATAACAGTGCTCAGTGTTAAGATACACATCTAGAGGATATAAAAACTATTTATGTTGCTTCTTAGATGACCCTTGGAACGCAGACACAAAATTAAGTCTTGGTCATAGAAAACACAAGCATGACTGGGTCCTTCCTATGTGCCAGGCACCGTGCTAAGCAATTGCATGTATTAGCCCATTTTAGCTATAAAAAACAACAGCCCTTGCCCTGGCCAGTTTGGCTCAGCGATTTGAGCATTGGCCTGTGGTCCGGAGAGACCCGGGTTCAGTTCCTGCTAAGGGCACATACCTCGGTTGCAGTTTGTCCCTGGCCCTGGTTGGGTCGTGCGGGTGGCAATCATTCGATATGTGCCTTTCATGTCGATGTTTCTTTCTCTCTCCCTCCCACTCTATCTGAACAAAAAATGGAAAAATGTCCTCGAGTGAGGATAAAAAAAAACAAACAAAAACAGCCCTCTTGCTGAAAAGGAAACTGAGGCTCAGACCAGCTAAGCAACTAGCTCCAGTCTGACTCTGAAATTTATGACCATCATGTTCTATGGCCAACCTCTGAGACTACACTTGGGGCTGAAGACCCTAGTTTGATAAATTGAAGGTGATGGAAATGTGTAGTGGGGGCTGGGGAGGGTGGGAAGGCTTTGGCAGGTCGTACAGAGAGTCTTGGAGGGGCAGGTAGGGGCTGGCAGTTGACGGGGCATTGGGGGTGGCTGGCCTTAGCACCAGGTGGGATCCATCAGCCTTGTGTAAACACTCCTCACAGGCAGCTTAACCACTTGAGTGTGTCTGGCCTTCAAAGCTGGTGGGAGAGGCTGAGGAGGGAGGTGCTAAGCTCCCCTGTGGGATAATGATTTATCTCCCATGCAGGTGGGCTCTCCTGCCTGCCCCCCCAGAGGCAAAGGGGGAGAAGAGTGGGACAGGGGCTGGGAGGGGCACCTTCACAACAGCAATTCAGATTTCTCATGTGTAAGCCAAAACTTGCCAACTCTCAGAGCAAGCCTGTGAAATAGGCATATCTATCCCCATTTTATAGATGAGGAGACTGAGGTTCAGAGAGGCTAAGTGACTTGTCCAAAGGCCTAACAAGTGGATGCCTCCCTGGCATCTATAAAGCTTCCTGAAGGCTCACTGTTTCCTCCTGTTCCTGCGTGAGTGTGGGTGGGTGCAGGGCAATGCGGGGGCCAGCTTCTGCTGTATTTGGGAGTGTGTGTTCCCGTGAGTGTGCAGTGGGGTTTCGTCCTCTGGCTCTCATGTTGGGCTCCAACTTCCTGGACACATTTTGTGGGGAGGGACCAGCTCCCCCCGCCCCCACCATCAGGCCAGCGGTCCAGAGACCTGGCTCTTACTGGGCTGGGGGATTATCCCCATTCTCTGTGTCTCTGGCTAGGGCGAGCATAGCTGCCTCTTTTATCCTCTCACAAAGGCGGGCCCGCCGGGCCTGCTGTGTCAGAGTTTCTGTGGCCCGGGGAAGCCTTACTTCCTTTCCTCCCGCCAAGCCCAGAGGGCCACGCAGTCTGCCGCTTGCCGGGCCACTGTTCTAACTCCAGGACAGGTGAAAGGCACAGGAGTGACTCAGCACCGGGAAAAGAAAACTGAGGGGTCACTCACAGAAGGACAGAGAACTCCTCTTCAAGAGACATGCTGTTACTGCAGCATGAGGTCTGTAGGGTAGACCTAAAGACTTTCAGTTACAGCTGGCCAGTATTGGGTGGGGTGGGGCCAGCTGGTTCCCAGTGGCCCACAAGGTTGGTTTGAGGGCCCACCGTATTCCAGCTGCTTAGGTAGCCAGCTCTAGTCCCAGGGCATTCTGCAAAATAGAGAAGGGAGCAGATTTCTTTTGTAGGTGTGCCAGGTGGGCAACTTGTAATAGCCAAACATTCATAGTCTCCTAGATAGAGACCACTTGGGAATGTAGGAGGCATAGTTTGAGGGGACCCCCTCCCCACCCTGGTACTCAGAATTAATCCTTCTCTCTCCTCCCTCAACAGGTTGGGTTTTCGAGGTGTCCCTGCTGAAGTGACAGGTTCTCCCATGTGATACTCCGAGTGCCTTTGAGGAAAGCTCTCTGGACCTCCATAGGGGCTGATGGAGAAGTGGGCTTCCCACATCCTCTATCCCCCGCTGAGATCATGGTGGATTTGGGACGTGGCCCAGGCCTGGGCCTCCTGCTGCTGACCCAGCCCCAGAGGCGTTAGCAAGAGCCCCGCGCCATCCATCGCCCCAGAGACCACCCCTCCTACCAGGGGCCTGGAGCTGGCGAGTGACTATGCGGCTTGGGCTGTGTGTGGTGGCCCTGGTTCTGAGCTGGATGCACCTCTCTGCTGGCCGGGGGACCAAGGGGAAGAGACAGAGGCGGAGTGAGTAGTGAGCGGGCGGACCAGGGCGGGCCTGGAGCTGCGGGCGTGGGAGGGACCACCTGAGGGACAAGAGGGACTTTGGTGGCTTCCTTCTGTGACACCCATTGCCGATATCTACTTGTGTAGATTACCCAATAGGTCATCCTGTTTGTGGATTATCCACTTTTCGGATTCATTGGTTGAGATCGCCCACTCTGTAGATTAGTCACTTCATCGATTTCGCCCTGGATAGACTTTGCTTTCTAGACTAACTCCTCTCTTGTGAGGATCCAGGGTGTGGATTACGCCCTTTGACATAGCACCCGCTTTGTGTGGTATCCATGGAGACGACTCCCCGGTCCCCTGCCCCAGGATGCTTGGTTCCCTCCTCTGACCACTCAGGGCCCTTCCTTTCAGTGGTGGCTGAAGTGCAGCCTTCAGCCCTTTGGGCCAGGGACCCCGCCAGCTTGGTGGTAGGCAGCCGCCTTCCCTGTCCAGGTCCTGGGGCGGGCATGGTGGAGCCAGAAGGGCGTGAGACTGTCCACTCCTGCGGCCATGGCCCTGCCCCGTGGGAATCAAGGGGCTGCACTGGGGGCGGGAAGGGGAGGCAAGTGGGCAGGGGTCAGGCCCAATCCCACTTCCGCCTGAGCGACTTCGCTCGTCCCCACTTTCTGTAAGAATCCACATAAGATGTCACTGGGGGAAAGGGTTCTCGCAGCTTAAAATAAAATAAGACCATCATTGCACAGATGGGGAAACTGAGGCTAGGAAAGGGAAAAAATGACAGGCCTCAGGATGCACAGTCAGTACTAGAACCCAGGTCCCCTAATTCCTGGGAGCCCAGTCTTCTTGAACACAGAGCTTGTCAGAGTTCAGGTTGAACCTGTGCCCACTGCCCTCGCTGTCCCTCCCAAGAGCAGGTCCTCTAGCCTCTGCTTGACGTGTCCAGTGAGGGGGCCCCACTCCCGCCCGCTGCGTTACAGAGACGCGTGTCAGGAGTGAGGTGGAGGCCTGTGTTACAGACCTGAGGCTCGACCCCAAGGTCTGTCTTTCAACATCCCCCGTGAGACATGTCACACACGTGGGCAGGCAGCTCCTCTGGAGCCTGGCCCAGCCGTTTCTCCTTCCCTCTCGGGGCCTGCAGACCGAGGCTGCCAGTGAAGGAGGGAACTCGGCGGAGTTTGGTTAGGTCTGCACGGGAGCTGCCAAGGGCAGAACCCAGCCCAGGGACAGAAGCTCCGGGACTGGTGAAGCTGAAAACCCCTGGCTTAACGAACGATTAGAAATGGTTAGGGTTAATGAGCCCCGAGACCTTGATTTCCCTCCCTTTCCATCTACTGCAGCCAGGGTTTTGGACTCCACGGGCCAGGTGCAGTTTAGCGGTTTGTAATATCTCCTCTATTTCCAAGATGAGAGAAAGGGCATGAGTGGGGCCACTCATGCTTATGTGAGGTGCACAGTGGTCATGCTGTCCCTCACCTGTGCAGAGCCACCCCCACCCCCAAACCAGGGGTCAGAAGACCTGTTGTTCTAAACTTTGTACTAAAAAAAACCCCAAACTGGTTGTGGCTCAGTGGTTAAGCATCGACCCATGCACCAAGGGCTCACCGGTTCGATTCCTGGTCAGGGCACATGCCCAGGTTGTGGGCCCGATCCTCAGTGGGGGCATGCAGGAGGCGGCCAACTGATGTTCTCTCTCATCAATGTTTCTGTCTCTCTCTCCCTCTCCTTTCCTCTCTCCCTAAAATCAATAAAGAAAAAAATTTTTTTTAATTAAAAAAAAAAACAAAAAAAACTACTGGCCTGGCCATCAGAAAGGGCCCGGCCCCGGCCATGGCCAGCCAAGTACAGCAATTATGACACTTTGGATATAACCACATCCCAGAGCCTCGGCAGCAGTAACCCGGCTTTTATTACCAAGTGGTGTGAGTGACAGACATCCTTGACGGTGAGATACGAGGATGGGGTAAGGTGAGGGGGAAGACTTAGGGTGCAGCGAGGGCCCAAGGGGGCCATTGCTTGGAGGTGAGAGTGGATGTTGCTAGGCAGTGCTGCTTAAAGAACAACCGTAAAGCTGCGAGCGTCATTGTACAGGAATGCGGTGAGGTTTACGTGAGAGGACATATACATATACATGCGATGAAACCTTTGTGAGATATCAAGCTCCGTGCTGACTTCAGGAGGCATGTGGTTGTCATGTAAACAACATGGGGACCCTTTTGCCCTAGGCTGTCCAGGGAAGTAGGGAGAGAAGAAGGAGGAGCCAGACACTTGTGTGTGGCTGCTCTGGCCTCCTGACCATGTGGAAGAGCCCTGGGCAGCCTGGGGGGCAGAGGCAGGCTTGCTATGTAGATGGGCCTCAGGTCTGCCGCCTCTGGCCAACATCCTGTGACCGCTGTTGATAGGGCCGCCAGAAGCCACTCCGTAGAACTCTGATCTGGAGCCACACATCAGTTTTAGCCCAGAAATGGCTGCTTTCAGGTGTAAGCGATGGCCTCCCTGCGTGGAGGGACGGAAGTTAAGCAGAGACTTCTTTAGCGATGAGGGACGAACCCTGGTAGGGTGCCCTTCTCCTCTACTCACTGAGGACGTATCCCGGGGCCGAGCTTCCTCCTCACTCCCCTCACTGGCCTCGCCCTCCCTGACCACCTCCCCACCTGGATTTTCCGCCCCTCATGGAACCCTCATTCCCTCCCCACCCCTCACATTGAGTCCCCTTTCCTTACTGAGACCCTTCTCCTATCAGATTCCTGGGCCCCTTCACCCAGTTCTGTTCCCACGAAGCCCCCATTCCGTTCCCGATTCCTCCAGAAGCTGGACCCCCTTCTGTGTCCTTTCTCATGCTCCATCCTCCGTCTGGAGCTTTGTCCCCTCTTGCACTGACCATCCAGAGAGTCCTTCCCTCACTGCAGCTCCATTCACTCCTTGGGCCGCTCCACAGACGTCCATTTGAACCCACAGAGCCGGGCCGTGGTCACAGAAATAAATCTTGAGGAGTCCCTGGAGGAGGTGGTGGGGGACACTTTCAGTCCAGTGTTTTCATGCTCCCGCAGGGTGGGGCGGAGGGGTCTGGGAGTGTGTTTTTAGAGTCAGAGGTGATGTCTAGGCAAGGGAGTGGGGAGCCGACAAGGGTGAGGGCACTGCAGGCAGAGGGAGGAGTCAGACTCTTTGCTCAGAAAGTGGGGTGCAGCTAGGAGATGTAGATGGAGAAATGGTATCTAAGAGGAGTTCTGGGGAGCCCTAGGGTTTTAACTGGGGCAGCTGTGCTCATATCTATTTCATACAAGGAGGATCTTTTCTGTTAAAAAGAAGGGTTATACTGCCCGGCCTGTGTGGCTTGGTGGTTGAGCGTCAACCCCTGGTTGAGTTAAAGAATGCTGAATCTTCCTGGGGGGCATGCCCTGGGATGACCTTGGGCACCAGGCATAGATACATCTCCCGGGAGAGTATGAGGCCTGAGAGGGGCCCTTGCCTACCCTCTCACTGAGGCCCCAGTCCCTCTCACCCCTGCATGTACTCCTGCCAACTAAACTCAGGTCTTTTACTGAATCTGGTTCCTTCAAGGCTAGATACCACCCCAATACCAAGGTCATGCCTCCTCTGGGTCATTGTGAGTTCCTCTCCACCCCTCGCTGACCTTCAGCCAACCCACTGCAAGCCCCCATTTTTATCCAACCCCTGCCCCCACACAAACACACAGTGAGCTCCATCCGCATACCCGCCTCCCCGAGCCTCTGTCTCACTCACCACCTCCTCAGCCCTGTGTTCTGGGGGACCCTCGTCCTTCCACTGGACTCCAGAAATAAGACAGGCTCTGCCCTCCAAGGCTCTTTCTAGTGGGGGAAAAGCATTTGAGAAGATATTAAGTACACATGGTGATCTCTCCCATGATGGGTTTAAGGACTGGGGCTGTGGGAACACGGAGAAATACTCCATCTGGACTCTGCGGGGAGGTGCGATCCGGAGACACTGCCTGGGGCGCGGTGACTTTAGTTCGGAGGCTTGAAGGAGTTAGGTTCAGGAGGAGGCACAGAGTGTCCCAGGCAGAGGGACTAAATTGCACAAAGCCAAGAGTTGTGAATAGTGTGATGTGTCCAGAGAGAGGAAAATAGTTCCATATTGCTTAGGGGTAGTGTTGAGACGAGGCAGGTGGCATCAGCTCATGGAAACTTTTCCATGGAGGAGCTGAGTCTTATTCTGCAGGCACAGGGAGCTATGGGGGATTTTAGGCAAGGGTGTGACACCCTCAGAATTTTGGCTTTTTAGAAAGATGGGTAACTGGGAGAAGATAAGCCCCTTGGGGAGGAGGGGCTGTGGCCAGAAGCCATCCTTCAGGGAGGCAGGGGCACTGCGCCGCCCTGGGGCAAGGCCTGGCTATAGGGACATCACCTTGAAGGGTTTTGGACAAGGATGACGGAGGCGGAGAAGCAGCAGAGAAACGGAGGAGGGCCTTGCCTTCCTGGCTCAGTGAGATGGGCTTCACTGACTTCTGGGGAGCAGAGTGTGAAGGGGGTGGTGGGAAGGGGGCGCCACCCCCTCTCTGAGCTCCCCCTCCACGGAGCCCACCCAGCCTCCTTGGCCAGGCTACAGCCCTGCAAGCTGCTCCTCCACGCCTGCCCCGCTCCCCCAGGCCCTTAATAGGCACAGGAGCTGGAGGGAGCCTATCAAACCGAATCTGACCATGACCTTCTGTGGTCCCTTTCCTGGCCAATAGAGTAAAGCCTGTTTTGTTTTGTTTTTTCAATTAGCAATCATCATGCCTCGGATAAACCTCATTGGCTATGAAACTGTCACTGTGCAAAGCTTAAGGTCCTGTTTTCAATCCCATGAACAGTCTAGGATGTCCAGTGCCTCAGAGCCTTTGCACAGGCTGTTCCTCCTCCCGGGCACACCCTCTTCGCTGAGCCGGCTGGGTAAGGGAGTGCCCTCTACTGCTCCTCCATTCACCACAGTGCAGAGCCGGCCCTGCTTCCCACACTCCTGGGTGGGTTTCTGTTGCTACACCTCTACATTCCCAGCTC